CATTTTATGGAGACTTCTGTTAGCATCTCAGCTCTCAGGGTGAACATCCTCCGACTCCCAGACCTGTTCATGTTGACGGTTGTTTTGAACGTCCTGAACTCGTGAACCGTTTCCGCTCTTCTTGTCCTCCCTCGGTGTTCACTCTCAATTTAGCAGTCAGGGGCTCAGCAAACTGAATACCTGAGGTGCAAACAGAGCTGACCACCTCTTACATGACAAGCTGCCATGTTCTCATCATTCATGCGCACCTTGTTCTACACGTATATGTGGCATTTTAAGTGAGGAGAAAATTTTAGGGTGTCCTAACTTATTCCTGACTAAAAAAATAATATTTTTTAAAAGATATTTTGAAGAAAAATGTTATCAGCATTTTCTATATTGGTAAAATTGGTATTAAACATCTACATGTTCAGTTATATCAACTATGTTATCCTAATTTTATTTCTTTCTTTCAAACAAATCTCTATTTTTTTGACAGATCAAATGTAACTAACCAGAAATGAAAGCTTGAAGTGTAGACTAGTTTCCTTCATGGTATTGTGACAGTACTGCTTGTTCCTTCATCCCCAGCTCTATTTTAGTCAGACTCTGCACCACATCCATCCACTATTTGGGACAAAATGCTCCGGTTCTGGATCCAAAGGAGCTATTTAAAGGTTCCGAAAGAACAAAAGCTAACAAAAGCAGTCGTTAACAGATCCTGTGGCCAAACACCGTCAGCTTCAGATAAAGCAGACAGGGTCCTTTCTTTTGTTGCTGGCTGGTTTTGCAGACCGCTTTTCAAGTGAAGACACATTAAATGTGTACGTTGGTATTTATAGCAGCTTCTTGGAACAGAAACTTTCTGTAAGGGAGAAGGGTCACGGTGTGCGCTCGGCTCTGTGTACATGTGGTTTGTAACCAGATCACAGAGGACAGAAGGACAAAATTAAGACGACTCTGTCACCATGCTATTCATCATAATCACACCCAGTGGAAACTAGCCTCTACTTCTGCAGATAATACACAGAATGTGGTAATAGCGAGGAGTAAATGTGTTACAAGGAGTAAAAAGGTGTTGTGGGGCATAAATTTATGCTGTAAAGTGGAGAATTCAATCTAATGCTGGTGAATGTGGTGTTGATGGATGTGAGATGGTAGTAAAACTGGTCCTGGTATGGAGTTTTAAAGGCTTAAAGGGCATTAAAGGACGCAAAAATAGTACCATGGGGTCCTTGAAATGGTGTAAGTTGGCACTGAGAAACGTTGAGGGGTTCTTAAAGAGGTTTTCACTGCGAGGTTGAAACACTTCCACTAAATTCAAAAGTCAGAACTAATGTAAGGCGAAGAGCTGGAAGTTAATGGGTTTCTAAAGGTGATTTTCAAGAAAAGAAGGAAGTTTGGAGGCTCATTGCAAAGTGGAGTTTGCAGCCGACTGACATGATTTCTGCTCTGTTGAGAATCCACCTTCAGGGCCGCTACGGTGCTTAATAATTTAGAAAATGTTTTGCTTTACTAGGAATATGCTTCTAGATAATTTACTCTGAACCTTTTTAATGTCCAGAAGATTTTGTAATTAGTTATCACAACCGGAAAGTCAATTTAATATTCAAATTCAACTTTTACCCCATCTATTGTAACTTCTACATCTATATTTCCTTAATAATTTCAGAATCACATCAACTTAATTTTCTCCAGATTTAAGAACAGTTTGCGTTTATCAAACCATTTTTGTGGTTTGTTCATTTCTGGTATGATTTCATGTAAGAGCTTCTGTAGGCTCTCACCAGTACAACATCTATTTGTATCATCTGCCAACAAAACAAACTTTTTTTTTACACTTTTGGAACCTCACATATATAATTTCTGTACAGGATTAACAGTTTTGGTCTCAACACCGCCCCCTGGGGGACACCACAAGTAATGTCCAAACATGACGACTTTCACAAATTGCTGACGGCTACTAAATAGATCTTCATCAACTCCAAAACCACTTCCAGTAATGTATACTCCCAGTATAGCATAATACTCTAAGTTCCTGGTTGCTTTTCAATGGGGTTCTATAAAATGATTTCTTCTTGGCAGGTTAGCCAGGCTGGCACAAAAACTACACCGACAAAAATAGAAGCTAATCTGTATTTACTACCATGAATAATCTCATCTGATCCAGCCGACCATCTGAAATAATTGAGTGACAGGTTGTGTGTGTTTTATTACAACATTGTGTTGACTCATGTTTTTCTGAAGCAAATGGTTATTATCATAAACGCAGACAATGACTCACTGATCTGCTGTATGAGGACAAACTACGAACCACAGCAACAGCTTCGCACAAACTTAATCCAGAGACTCTAGGAAAAAATATAAAACAAGCCTGTTCAGTTAGATCACCTTTAAAAATTGTTGTATTGCTACTTATTAATCGTCATATATCATAACTTAAAACTGTGGTGGTAGGTATGCATTGTGAGAATTTAAGTTTGTGCTTTGATCAAACGAAGTAAAATAGAACTGACAGTAATAGTGTTCATTTTTGAAGCTTATAATTGCTCTTTAGTTATTCTTTATGATCTATGAAGCACTCAATATGCTTTATGGGACTGTGGTTGGCGAAGTTATATTGTTAGAAATAACAGGGATAATTTTTGATTTTGTTATTCAGATGACATTACAAGTAATTATCAGTTTATTATCACAGCATCTGAATAGCAATGAACTGTAATTTATTTTTTATGGCCTCCATAACATTTGTTACGACAGATACTAGGTGCTAAAGGCAGTTTGTTCTTAGGGATACAGTTTTGAATTATCACGGTTATGATGATGATTATGATGACAATTATTACTATTATTGCGATTTTATTTGTGCTAGTTGTGTTTTTCAGCATTTTACTCACGTTTACGTCACGTCTCCTCTGTTACATCGATGATATCGATGAAAGTTTAATGCCTCATATTTCCAGTTGGATTATTTGTATACAAGGAAATAAATAAAATGAATAAAATTCAGATGGGTCAGACTTAAACCTTGATTATTTCTGGCGGTTTTCATTTTCCCTCTGATCTTGCCAAATGGCCAAATGCTAGCAAAGAGTCAGAACTACTATGTTTGACTGTTGTAATTTTATCATGGCAAACATTTAAAGAGATAAAACCAGTAAATTGTTTTATCCCTTATTGAGGTAATGCAATGGTATTTCCATATTAGTTATATTTTACAACATTAGATTGTCCGTGGATTAAAATTAGAATTTTTACAAAGACTTTTTAAAGGTAAATAGGTCATATATCTTTTAATTTAGATTAAATGTGGTGTACAAATAATGTATATATTAGAGAGATATAGCAAATATCTCTCTAATATAATAATAAACAGAAAAAGGTTGTCATTTTTTTTGTTTAATAACGTATTTAAAATTTTATTTGATATGTTTACCTAAGTCGGAAGATTGTACCTAATAAATTCAAAATTCAATATTTATATTCCTCCTCCTCCCACTCAGTGTCAGGACTGATTCAGTTTTCCTCCGTGTTTCCACCCACGCCCCGTTGTTATGAAAGATTTCTCTGCAGGGCTTCTACAGGCCGCGATTGTAGCGGATAGAAGAAGCATACTTATCTCTTATCAGATACATACTCCTCAACGCACTCTGTATGCAACACCTACTCACATTAGTAGGGTTGCAGAAGGATTCGCACTTCAGCTTCTGCTCCATGTTTTGCTCAAGTAGGCAGCCACTCCTTTAAGTACGACAAAAATACCACATGGCAAACGCACAACGCTGTATGGAAAGGCTGAAACATAACTGTTGGGTCAATCGAACAATTCAAGCCGCTTCCAGGTTAATACGTTGTGCTCAAATGTCCAGAAGGTGTAAAAAAAATCTTCAAGTCAGAGTCTAGACTTCAAGATCGATGCGTATGTTTAAAATAAAGAAAGGTTTGATTTGTCAGAGAGGCTGGATTCAGGCTTGACTTAACACCCGAATTTAGCACGTTCTACTTGGAAGCCACAAAACCATTGGGATTCACGAATTGTTACTGGCAAGCTGACTCTAAAAATAGAGTGACATTCTGGCTAATGTGCAATACTACTGTATGTGTAGCACTCGTTTTATGAGACACAAACCAGCAGAAGGGATGTTTAATAGTTGATACCAACCACTTTCCCCTCATTTTCTGTCCTGGGATACTAAGCTGATTTCTGCCCTCTGACTTTCCCAATTTCAGGGAATTTCCTTGTTTAATTTAGAGTTAGAACAGCTGTAATAAATAGCTCTTAAAAATTGCACTATGGATGGAAACCAGCCAAAAACCAAAGCACTGCGACACATTCACCTGTCGAACATGAATGATGTACTGGGACTGTAAATGACTCTTCAAATGACGGATGACTGTGGCTCAGTGGGTCAAGTAATCCTCTTGAAATCTAAAAAACTATGATTTGATTCCAGCTTCGTGCTGCCACATGTCAAGGCACCTAACCCCAAGTAGCTTACCAATCTGGGTATGTGTAAATATGAGTGTGACTGAATGAATGCGGATCTGGTGTTGGGCGCGTTGAGTGGTCAGTATAAATATAAGAGAGCTATTTAAATTCACTAAATTTATCCTCTTCAAAATACCTGGCACTTAAATGATACAGCTGCCAGGTCTGATTTGGAATCAGACCTGGCAGTAAATCAATTTGGAGGTAGAAGTAAAAAAAAAACAAAAAAAAACTGGCAGCCTCATTGGTAGCTACATCCAACGTGGCGCTCATTCGCAATTCCAGTCTTACAGGTTATTTACCAAATAAGGAGCATGTGTGCAGAAAGAAAGGCACACCTGAGAAAATTCACCGAAAAAAAAGAAAGACTCCAACAAAAAATTGAGGGAAAAATCTTGGAAATTTGTGGGCATTTCCTAAGGTTAACTTTTCCATTCATAAAACAAACTTGACTACAAAATGCATTGTATTCTGAAAATATGTTAAATATTTTTATTTTTTTAAACTTCTATTTCAACATCTTTGTTTCCAGGAAGTGGGAGTGGTGGAGTGGGTGGGGCGTTGCCGGGTCTGATTGGCGCCACCGGCCCCTCGGTGATGATGAAACCATTCCTGCCGTTTCCCATGGAGACGACGTCGCCAGTCGGACTCTTCCCAAACTTCAACACGGTGCACGGACGTGGATTTTGTTGTTGCAGCTGTCCAGTCTGACTGACATAAAAGGAGCTGTCATCAGATAATCCTCTGCAGCTGTTGACCTCTGACCTCTGTTTGTTTTGGAGCAGATGGATCCGGTGCAGAAGGCTGTCATCAGTCACACCTTTGGTGTTACCATGGTGCCCAAGAAGAAACAGGTCATCTCCTGCAGCGTTTGCCAACTGAGGTTCAACTCTGACGTGAGTTTGTTTGATGTATGATGGTCGTCTGCGTGTTTGCTTTGCAGAAGTAAGTTCAAAAAGTTACTGAAGTAAATGTAACTAGTTGCTACTTACCTCTGCATTGAACAAGCGTCTCATACCCAAGCTGAAATACCTGATATGTATTTTATCTGAGAACCATTAGATACTTGAGGCCAATCGTGTGGTTTTAGAGTCTTTTGTTTCACAAACAGTGCGATAAAGCACTGGGGAGCTAATTAACCATTTGTGTAATTTAATCCAATTTTCAGATTAAAGTCAGGACTTTGGCATAAGGATTTTAGGATTTTCTGATAAATTTGTTGTAATTGGTAACTTAACATATTGGAAATAAATGTATGCAGCAGTTGTTCTTTCCTATTTTGACTCAGGAAATGTCTTTAAGATCTCCATCCCCCCTCTGGCTCTAAGACACTCTTCATGTATTTCTGTAAATGGGGATTAAGGATACTGGGAGGAGCCAGAGGAGCTTGATTTTTTTTCTCACATATTATCCATTTCAAATTCTGCTGTCATGACATACTAACAGTTTTAGCTAATATGTAAAAAATACAGTTTTATAACAGTTACCTCCTGCAGCTTTAAAGGGATGCTAATCAATGTGGAAATCGAAGTGATTTTAGTCATTCTAACTGGCTTAAACAAGACAGGTTTGGTCTGATTTAATTTCTGACAGCGGGGCAAAAAAAAAAAGAGAAAAAAAAAGGTGCATCTGTGTATGTAAACTTCTGGTTTCGACTGTAAATATGGATATTTATTTTAAAACGCGCTCGAGAAATGAACGTACCGCAGAAGAAGCGCTCCTCTGGGTTTGTTTCAAGATGCTTCCTGTGTGTATAATCAGGTGTAAGAGGCACTCCTCAGCGCTGTATTAACACAGCGCTGTGTAAATGACACTGAGCGATTTCATGACTGCTGAGAGCTTAATGAGCTGCCTCATTACCGACACGTCCATCAAACATGACTAATCCACGAGCCGGTAAAATTATTCATGAGCGAACATGAATAGAGGAATTACTGCTGATAAGGAGGGAGTAAACAAGGAGCATTAACTCATTCTAACAAGCTGCGTAACAAGCTGGATCGGCCATGAAGGCAACAAGAGTGGAGTCATGGTGAGCAACACAGCACTCCTACTGCAGACAGGAAAACCTCTATTAAAACACAGACACTTTCTGAAAAGTGGTTACATGGAGAGTTTTGATTTTCCTGTTTCCTGTCACTTTTAGATTACATAAAGTAGTGCAGGAAATGTTGAAAGTGTGATGTGCGCGCTTGTCTTCTCCCCACTTTATCTCTGAAATAAAGTCCATTTCAACCAAACGACTTCTAATTTGTAAATGGAGTCCATCTGTCTGTAATTGAAAGCCAGCATTGTGAAGAGCAAGGAGCACAACAGACACGTCTGAGATAAAGTTTTGGGAAAGTTTTAAGCACCAAGTTTGTGAAGCAACATCCATCCATCCATTTTCTTTGAAAGAAACTGGCAAGATGTTGCAAAAAGCTTCTTTCTTTGGGAGCCTGTTTTTATAACAAAGAGCACGCGTCTTGAACAAGGTGGAGATCAGAGACTCTAAACTAGATTTAGAAACTCATTGTTCCGTACGCCTGATGCTCTGATGGATCTCGCTCTGTTCAACAGATTTTTCTTCTTACCTCATCGGTCTGGGCGTGTGTTCGATTTTTCGGCCCGGTGTCGACAGCTGCGTTTGGTAGGGCCCTGTAACCCTCACCCGAAGCCTCTGCTTCCAGGAGCTGGGCCTTGGGTTTTGTATGTGCATTGTAATGGGGATAATGCTTTGAGAGGGTCAGTATCCCCGTTAAGCCTTATTTAGTGCTGTGCCTGAAATCTTCCAGCTGCTTTGATGCCATTGCTAATGTGCTTCCCATGCTACACCTGCTATGCAGACCCAGTTAGACTGCAAAGGCAGCTAAAATGTGGATTCGTTGTACTGGCCGAGGTATGTGGTTGGATGCCGTTAATAAGAACTAAATTAATTATGCTTGTGTTCCTGAGATTTATGGCTTGAGCTTTGGTCGTGCTGCAAAAATAACCTGCTCTGTGTGGAGACTTGACCCTCTGTGCCTGAGATCACATATTAACACACTTAAAATGTGCAGTGAAGCAAACGCAGCAAATTAACATGGGACGTTTAAAGAATTAACAGTCTTTTTTTTTTCTACCTGTGTGTGTGCGCCCTCTAGTGTCTAATTAGAAAGAATGCAAAACCTCTGGGTTCGATGGAAGGGGCAGCAGAAAGGAGACGCATAATGTCAAAGTAAAAATCCTTAAAGGTCATATGTCATGGTTTTTTCACTAATCCTTCATCCAGGCTTTGGATAAAGGACAAGTTTTTTACTCTCCAAGCAATAGTTCATTTCCAAATCCGAAAATGAGACGTATAAGTGTAAAATGTAAATGTAAAATAATGCGACACCTGAACTGAACATCAGCACTTCACACAATAACTGCTTGTTACAAAGAGAGTAAAAGCTGCTTTAGTGTGGACTCATGTGATAAGGATTCGTAGATTAACTCGTCCAATCAAGAGGAGAAAGTTAGAAAGAGAGCTGTAGTTTGGAGACCAAGCAAACCGGCTCACTACCTGAAAATTTAAAAGCACTTAAAGAGCCTGAAAGTTATGTTATTAAAAAAAATACAAACAGAAGAGCAGTGAATGGAAACAGCTGAAAGTCTCACTATTTTACATATATTCACTATAAATCCATCAACAGTTCATTTTCTGACAAATTGTGTTTGGCCCTCAAAAATTCCCTTCAAGCTGAAATATTGGAACATAATTTAAAATACTGATTTACAATTAGATTGCAGTTGTAGTTAAATATCCTTAGTGTGTCTCATAAATAAGGGACTTTTTGTGGTTTAAAACCATACAGAGCATATTAACTCGTCGTTTCCATTAGATTTTTAAATATATGGGGCAAAACGTTTCCAACACAAAGGGTGAGCGATGAAGAGAAATCTGTCCCTCTCACCTTTTTGACAGAAATTTGACAGATAGGATCTCTGTGGAAAGAAAACTCTTGTGCTTGTTCTGTCTCTGCTAAGAAGTCAAACATTCATTCACCATATTACAAAGCTTTTTTTTTTGTTAACAAAACAATCTTTTCTCTGTCGTAGCAACATGTCACAATCTTTTGGTCAGAAAATCCTCTTTATCTGCCTGACTTTATTTAACCTGCTTATCTCCTTCAGAAACAATGGAGAAGCTGCTGTTTCTTATTTTATTTTGTCTAAGCGTCTAAAATCTGTAGGTTTTCTGGTTTGAAACTGATATTTGGACTTTCAACAAACTTAAACAAACCTAAGAAGTATAATTTTATGTTTTTAAGTCAAGAAAAAAATGACTTAATGCTTAAAGTTCTCTATCTCCGCTTGTCTTAGTTTTGGGCTTACATATTGGAGCAGAGACAGCAAGATGACAACATTTCACAAAATGAGACATCCTCCAGTCTAATTCATCACTTTAAAGTGACGTCAATTAGATATGACATGTGAAGCAGCTGTCACAACAATCCTACTGTTAGAACTGACTGCTGTCTTTATTTATTTATCTTTTTTGTCAGGGTATGGTCAAAGCTGTTTAGAAGATGAAATTTATTCAAATTTATTTATCTACAAAAATTTATGACCGGGGATTGAATCTCAAAAGTTCTTCCACAATGGAAGACTTAATATTACTCACATCTCCTGCAGCTCTTTCTCTCTCTCTCTTTCTCACTTTCTCTCTCTCCCTCCTCCGTCATCTTTTATTACTTTTTAGGAAGATATTTTACTGGCATGTATTTCTGGGTCATGGGGAGGAGGACAGAGAAAATGTCGAGGCAGAAACTCCTTAAAACTGAATAGATTATGTGGTGAATAAAGAATTACACAGAGCCAAATCTGCTTATTTTTTAAGTATGAAAACACAAATTATGCAAATGGAACATTGTAGCAACAAGCTGTCCTCCCCCCCAAAAAACTTGAATTCAAGTATTTGTATAACACATTTCAGTAACAAGAAAAGACCTGAGCGGACAGGAAGGTCCTAAAGTTTATTCAAATATATAAAAAATACCTTTATTTATTTTAAAAAATATACTCCCACAGACATAAAAGACAAGGAATAACATAAGTTTAGGATAAAAGAAGAGAGTGTTGCACATTTGTGTTTTTTTTTATTGACAATAAACTGTTCTATAGTCACAGTAGTTAATTTTAAAGAATAAAAATATGTTGAATTTTCTGCAGATTTGGACTAGCTTCCATGTTTGCAGGAGCTGCAGAGAGTTAGGAAACATCTTTGCAAAGATGTTCAATCAACAGAGCAGCACTGTAATTACATGTCATGTTTTTCAGTAGAGAAGCATACGGGCAGATCATATTTTTCATTCTACTGCCTTTATTTTGCAAGCGAAGTGGCCTCAGCTCTGAAACTGTCTGCCAGTTTCTGCTCTGTAAGAGTAAAGGAGTACTTTGTGCAGATGTGCTGCAAATGAAATGAAGAAACGAAGCAGAGAGTGACGAGACAAGAAACGGGAGTGAGAGCTGAACAACAGGAGGAAAGCCGAGTCAAAGCAGAAATAAAGCTCAACTCTTAGTTATTTGTATGTTTTCAGTCGCAGGCGGAAGCTCATTACAGAGGCAGCCGTCATGCCAAGAAGCTGAAGTCTCAGGAGAACAAGGCCAAAGCCAAGCTGTCAGTCACACCAGAGACCAACGGGAACAGCTGCGGTCCTGCTGGTCCGGCCCATCCGCTCCCTGCTAGCAGCGGCAGCAGTCAGGGCACAGGTGGAGTTTATCCCCCAGACAGATTGCTGATCTCAAACTTTTTATTTTCTAACTCTTCCTCCCTGTCATCCTCTCTGCAGAACTGTTCTCCATCCCCCCAGACTCCCTGTCCTCCATCAAGCCGGGCCTCCCGTCCTCCACCTCCCCTCTCTCCTCCTCTCCCTCCGCCAGCAGAGCTGGCAGTGAGCCTCCGCCGTCCAGCCCACCCTCCGCGCTTCCGGCCCCCGGCCTCTCTTCGTCTTCCTCATCCTCCTCCTCTTCAAAGTCTTGCCCCCCGTCTGCAGTCGCCCCCTACCCCGCGCCCGCTGCCCCGCAGACCGCCTCCTCATCCTCCCAGGATGCTCCTCTCTCTGCGGAGTCCGAGGAGGAGAAGGCGAAGAAGCTGCTGTACTGCTCTCTGTGTAAAGTTGCCGTCAACTCGCTGTCTCAGCTGGAGGCTCATAATGCAGGTAAGGAAAATAATTAATGAAACTTCATATTTATTTATGTTTTTTGGTGCTTTTGCATGTTTGGTTTCACTTTGGAGTGAAAATGAGTCAATATTTCTCTCAATAACCCACACTTAAAACACAAAATCCAGCAATGTGAGTGAAACATTTTTTATCGAAGCCTTTGTGTATTTAACCTCTAACCTTTATGCTACTCTGATTGGCTAGTCTTGCATAAGTATACCACTTAGTAATATTTTCAATTTTTGACTTTCAAAAGTAATGCAAAATAGTTTAAAACACATATTTCAGGGAACGCCTCCACTTGCTTTGAACATTTAAAGATGGGAATAATTTTGTATTTATGTCTGGACTTTGACTGGGACATTCTAAAATATGATTACAGTATGCTGGACTTTAAAATACTGTTGTCTGTTTAAAAATCGTTGAACCGCTTAGCATCACAATACATTAGAGATCTGCTGCTGTTGAACCATAATAAATAAAACATTAAACATTTTGATGTGGTGATCGTCCACCTCAGTCTTCTCTAACAGCCCAACAGATTTTCCTTCAGTATTTTTGCTCTCTGACAAACTTCTTAAGCTTCCGCCTGTGGATTCACTCTGAAATTAAGTCACAAATGCACACCACGGTTTTCAGAAAGCATTTTATAATTTCTCCTTCCTCTTAACATACACACACAACTTTCTATTGTTCTGTCACTATAAAACATGAAGAAAAAAAAAGTTTATTGTACTAACAGTAAAAAAGTGAGCAAACAAACCACGTGCTAAAAGAAGCTGAGAACAGGAAGAATATCTAAAACCATGTTGACTGAATATTTTTTTTTAGGATTAACAATTCTTACAAGTTCAGCTACTTTTGTAAATTACTCCAGGAAATACGCTCTGAATATTTAAAAGCCCTTTTTCTAATTTCGTCCTGACTCGGGGGGGTGGAGACGCATCTTAAGCCGAAGCTCTGAGACTCTTTTACCTTCGAGTCTTTTTGACTCGATGTTTTATGCCTCCCGTAATGTTTATTTATGCATCTCAGGTTCAAAGCACAAAACAATGCTGGAGGCGCGCAGCGGTGCGGGGCCGATCAAAGCTTACCCTCGACCAGGGGCCAAACTGAAGAACGGCAGCAGCTCGGCCCTGAAGGGCTCCGGCCTGCAGAACAAAACCTTCCACTGCCAGATCTGTGACGTCCACGTCAACTCTGAGATCCAACTCAAACAGGTCAGCGAAGCTCAAATGCCTCTTGATCTCTGTTTTTTATTTATTTTATTCTTTTCAGGCAACTCCAGGACAAATACTTCCCTTTGTCAATTCATCCTTTCCACATGTTCTCATTTCTCCCCAACCTTTTGCTCCCCCAGTGTTTGCTTTTGGTTGTTTCTGATTAATTATGGAGGAAAAAAAACATACAATACTTCATATAATTTCCAGTTTTCCTGACAGTGTTTCTGTTTAGCATTTTGGCAAACAAAACCCTTTCAGACCATTAATACGAATCTTCTTCAGTCACTTGCAGTCAAAATGCAGCAGAAGTGCCTGCTGATGCTTTTTTGATACAACTGGTATTACTAACGTCTCTTTGCCTCCATCTAGTGGTCAGAGTGATAACTGCATCCATTTAGTATGTTTTTGGTGTGTGAAACGCTTTGAATTGGACAGAAACCAAAGTAGAAATCCAATTTCAAATTATATCTAGAGAAATTGTTTCATCACTGCTGCAGAAGATTATGCCTGTTGCTGATATTTATCATACTTCAATTTATGTGCATCATATATATGCAAAAACAGTCAGTTTATTTAGAAAGTTGTACATAAATTACAGACCTCCAGGGATGTGTTTTAAATTTGAAATCTGGAACCTTTCTTTTTTCCCCCACCAGAACCCCACATTCGTCCTCCTGATCAAACTAAAACAAGTCTGTGTTACCTCTTGCTATCAGATACCAGTTTTTTTTTAAAGAAATATTACTACAACACCACCATCAGCTATTTGCAGATTCTAGGTTGGTATAAATTGAGGCATGATTAGCGTGAGACAACTAAAACTTGAAAATGGAAAAGCGGCAAAGCTTACTTTGTTCATGTTGTTGACGTTGCAGCACATTTCCAGCAGACGACACAAGGACAGGGTGGCAGGAAAACCCAGCAAGCCAAAGTACAGCCCGTACAACAAGCAGCAGCGCGACTCGCTCACTGTGAGTGTCTCCTTCCAGCTCTCTGCTCAACTAACAGTGGAGAAATTCACCCATAGGACAGAAAGACGCAAAGAACATTTGCTTAAATGTGTCTTCATATTTTCTTTTTCCCCTTTCTCCTCATTATCTACATGTTTCATTTGCTCTACTCCTGACCTTTCTGCCTCTGATTCTTTATTTTTCTTATTTAATCTAATTTTTTTCCCGTTCATCTTCTCTCCACTGCTCATTTCCTGTATTCTTCTGTCTTGCTTGTTTTTCCTTCTTCTGTTCCCTCTTTGCTTTTCCTTATCGTTTTATTTAATCTTATTTCTTTTTGTGTGTGCTGTCATTTCTTATTCCACTTTATTTTCTACCATTTTCTCATCTTGATTTTTTTTGCCTTGCTGTTTTGTCTGCTTTCTCATTTCACCATTTTATTTCCCCTTTATTTTCTTATCTCATTTTATTTCACCTACTGGATTTGATCATTTTCCTTTTCCTCTTTGACTCCCTCCGTTATCACTCGTCTCCTTGTGTCTTCAGAAGGAGCTGGCGAAGCCTTCTCCATCTCCTTCCTTCCTTTCCTCTCCTTTCACTTCCACTTCCTCTCCTCTCCCTCCCTCCATCTCCTCCTCCCCGCTCCTCTCTCACTCCTCCTCACCCCTCACCCCTGCCATCTCCCTCCACCCTCGCCCTCCGTCGTCCTCGTCCCTCTTCACCGCCTCCTTCCTGCGTCCCGCTCCCGGACCCATCAGAACCAACCAAGGATCAATTCTCTTCGCGCCCTACTGATGTCTGCGGGAGCGGCGGGGGAGTCAAGCCCACAACCTTTGACCCCTAGCCCGCTGTGTGCTGGAGCTTCAGCTGTTGCTGCGGCTTTGCTTACTTGACAGAATCTTCCTACAGAGACATGAAGAGGACGGAGACGTCCTGCTTTTTGATCAAAGACTCTCTGGTTCCGTCCAACGCCTCCTGACACGGAGGGGAGAGGCGCCGTTGTGTTCACTGACCCGCTGACGTCGACCTGAACAGAACCAGGGGCTAACAAAGCTCCCAGACGTACTGGAGAACAGGAGAAATGTCTGCAGTTATGGAATATTCATGAAGATCCATTCAGCACCGTATAGAAAGCAATAAGTGTTACAGGAAATGGGTTCAAGACTGGAAAAAAAAGGCTGCAGCTCATTTCTTAAATCATTTAACATAAATATTAGACATTTTTATTTTATTTTTACTGGATTAGACTTTTTAAAAAGCTTTTTTTTTATCCTCAATCATTAAATGCATCAATACTAAGGATTCCAACTAGTTTAAACGTGAACTAAAAGCATCTTGAGGTTTTTTTTTTGTTTGTTTTGTTTTGGTAAAATCAGACAAATATTGGAGACATACAGTTGGATTCCTAAATGTGGATCCTCTTTCAGTTCCTTTTTTCCCGTTTTATTTAAAACGTCTACCTCGATGAAAGACCTGGGAGCACTTATTTGTGCAGTAGTCCTTAAAAGGAAAATCGAAATTTGTCAAAGTAACAAACAAGAAAAACTAAAATGAACAGAAATCGGTTCTGGCCGGGAGAAGAGTGATCGGTGCAGCTGTAGATTTAATCCAAATGTCTAAAAGGGGGCGAAAACATTGTATTGGTTGTTTATCAGACTGATAATCCGCCTCCTCTGACTCAATGAAAAAGCAGAGGATGTAGGAATGTTCTTCCTCCCACTGAAGAAGCAAACCAGCACTAACAAGATGTCACAACAAAAAGCAAAAAAAGTCTACTGCCATCTCATCATGCCTCAGATGTGGCTTCATATATTATGATTTTTTTTTTTTTTTTGTCTTTTCTTTAAGTAAAACAGTCAAATATCGGCTTCCCCTCCTTAACTGATCAGATGTCTCCTACATATTAAAACAGTTTCAGTACCAACATTTATTTATTTTTTTATCTCATTCAGATATTTTTTTTTTCCATGCACACTTCTACTGGTTGTCAGAGAGACGGCACTCAATCAAGATCAAGCATCAAGATGTGGGCTTTGACTAGACCCAGAACTGACCATTTCTCAATTTGCTGCATTTAAATCTAAAACTAAAATGTTAATTTTGTATGATGGTAAAAACTGGATTTTTTACAATAAAAGCCCCAAATAAAAAAAAATGTACTCGTATCTTTAAAATTAAACTGTTAATTATTAGCTCTAATATATCATATTGATTGGAAACGTTCTAATTTATAAGACCTGGATATCTGACTGTGTCTGCACGGGCTTTTTGGTATGTATTTATGCAGAAATGTTTTTTTTCTAATTAGAGAAAATCAGTTCCTATTGCTTTAAATATCAAACAGTCATCATTACATTGCTTTAAATCCTACATAAAAACCCAGCCAAGAGGCAAAAAATACTTTTTTTGCCTTCATGCTGATGAAAATGTTCATTGTTTCAGAAAACCTACTCAAACTAAAATATACTGCTCAAAAAAATAAAGGGAACATTTCACTTTAATTTTGTGTGTGGCTCCAAATCCAGGCCTCCATTGGTTAATAAATTTGATTTCCATTGATGATTTTTGTGTGATTTTGTTGTCAGCACATTCAACTTTGTACAGAACAAAGTATTCAATGAGAATATTTCATTCATTCAGATCTAGGATGTGTTATTTGAGTGTTCCCTTTATTTTTTTGAGCAGTGTATATAGAAATGGATAAAAAATAATGCATCTGTTGTCATCCTTCTTATTTGTGCACTTAACTAACATGCAGAGAAAATACATCTATTTGTCTTATTTCTAAACTTACTTCAAATTTTCTGAGCAGAAAGTCTGAAGCGAAGAAATGAGCCAGTGGAAATGTTTTTGAGTGTTTTTGTCTGCGGTTTCAAATCCTCTCCACGTTTTGCTTTCTTCCTCCTGAACGACTTGAAGCATCCCCGTCTTCCAGCGTCGAACCGACCGGTAGAAAGACTTCTGTGTGTGTTTATCTATGCACCCTGTGTGACTCTCACCCATAAGACGGGCGATTTCAAGAAGGCACAAACTCACGTCCATCATCTTCCTCCTCTGTCCGATGACGTCGTCAATAATGCAATAACGTACGTGCGAGCTGCCGCTTTTTCTACTCTCCTTCACCTTCTTCATCAGCAATACTGGGATCCGCAGGGGGCCGGATGCTGGAACCAGCTCCCAAAACTGGGGTGAGGTCAGTAGAGGTGCACTGGTGGAGCTGAGATGATGTTTGTCTATGTGTGATTTTAAACAAAGCTGACATATTTTATATTTCTTCTAAAACTAAAAGTTTATCTTAATAAAAGGCACTGGAAAAATAGCTTATAGTTACTTAAGAGTTGTAAGAGGAGATCAGGAAGATTGCATTTCATTGTACAACTTGGACGCAGGTTTTCAGTCCCGCTTCAGAAATCATTCATACGCTGCTGCTGCGCAAAATGTCCTGAACCAAAAGGATAAAACCTGCAGACAGAGACAGAAAACACGCGTTGTAAAATATACATCGAACAGATTTTAGCTTTGAATTCATTCTTCAAACGTATAAAAAAAAATCATATTTGCAAATTTATCGACCTCTCTGTATGTACAGTATTTATTTCCTTTGAACTTGTTTTTTAATGCGAAATGATGAAAATGGAAGATATGCAAATGTAAAATTTGTCAAGTGTCACATTTCTTTCTGTAAATGTTTGTTTTCATTAAAAATAAGTGAGCAGCATTCAGAGATTGTGTTTGTTTAACGAGCGCTCAGAGTCAAAAGAAATTAAAAAAAACTGAACTATTAGTAGATTGCTGGGTAGTTGGAGGTGTGGTTGAAATGTGTCCTTTCTCTGATCTGTTTTTTTTTTTTAAACGAAATTGGAGTCAAGTTTGAATTTTACGTCGATTATCTCTAATCCACATGTTGTCAAATACAACACTGAATCTCCGTCCCGTTACTCCGGCCTGATGTCGATGTGTTTTTATTTCCCTTGTGGGAAATATCAAGGGGCGCAAATAAGTATTCCTGCAGCTGCATCCAGTGTGGCAAAAAGATAAACAAACCTTTATATTTGAATATGCCTGGGAGAAAGGCTACTCCCTGTCATTTTGTTAATCGACAAAGTAGCACTTTCTCAGTCTGATGTGCTGACACCATGTTTCACTCTCGACCTTGGGAGGACAACAGCGAAGTTGCTCTCTCTTCTCCTCTCGCTTCTCGTAATGCAGAATATGCAGCCTGACCTTGTCAAAAGAAAATAAACACGGGTCATAGACTTTGCATTGTTACCTGCTCATGTTTTCCTAGCTTTTAAACTAAACGAAACAAATCTAAACTGAAACATAATAAAATAAAATACAACTTAAGGTGTAAGTTTTTTTTTCACTCCGTGCAGAAAGTCGCTAAGAGCAGAGAAACCTGAGCAAACCGGTCCAGTTGAGGACAGACCCAGAAAACTGGACTGAACTGGACTTTTTTTTTTTAACCGGCTTGATAATTTACTGCATTATCAAGCAGTAAAATATCATGCTTTGTGACATAAGTCCAGTTAAACTATGACCATGCCACGTTAGTGTCAAACCTGACAAACACGTCATTCATTCAGGCTTCAGACTAGCAATGACTGATTAGAGATTAAGACGAAAAACGAGTCGGATCAAAGCAGAAATGTAATGACTGTATTATGGTTGTTTCATATTGTTTGTATTAGAAAGGCCCACATTCCAATAGTGATCACCTGAATGGAAATTGTGTTCAAGCCGAGGTGTAATCCTCAGACATGTGGAGGAAGGTGAGCTTGTCAGATTTCTGGCCAACATGTGAAACATTGAGTGTTGAGTAAAAACGCTGCATCCTGAACGTACCGTCCCATTGGTGAAGCATGGTGGTGGCAGCATCATGCTGGACTGTTTTTTTTTTTTTTTTTTTTTTCCCACAGGAACTTAGGAGCCAATAGCTTTAGATGAAACACATCCAGATGTTGGGATGGAAAATATCCCAGACCTAAACCTGACTTTGCTCTCCATCCAGTCAGATTGAGTTTGAGCGAATTTGCAACAAAGAACGGGCAAAAGTTTCAAGTCTCCAGACGTGCAAAGATGGCAGATGATCGCTTGCTGCTGTGACTCAGGAGAAATGTGGTCCGATACAAACGCAAGCAACAGTTTCCAGATTTTTAGATGAAAAGAAATTTAAAAAAAAGTTGGTAATCTTGTTTTCATTATTATGCACTATTAAGAGTTTCATTTTATGACAGAACATTTCTAGAAGCCCAAACTAGTTAATTAGAACCTTTTATTATGAAGTAATGTAAAGCAGTTTGCAATACTTCATGAAGCATGAGGCGCATTTATTTTTTTTGCACATATATTAGAGCATAAGCTGATGGACGCAGTCATGTGACATCACTGCACTAAACAGCATCTCAAGTCAACCTAACATCAGCTGGTTGCTTCAAATTGGTCACAAAGTATCACCTCTTTTCTCTCCTCCTCTGATACAATTCAGCTTACATAAATAACTTGTTTGAAATGTTATTTTATTATTATTATTATTATTATTATTATTATTTCAAATGTTCCTCAGGTAAAAAAAGAAGATACGTTTGGTTACAAAGTCACTACCGTCCCCTTTTGTTGTCCTGGAGGATCCTGAGATAAAACTTTTAACCTTTTAAGACACAGTTTCAGTTGAGCTGTAGTTCAAGGGTGAAATCGTACTTTTTGAAGAGAGGCGGATGTGAGGGGCTGGATGAGAGGAGGAGTTTTTCCTCTCACTTGTGGAATAAAGGCGACATGGAGCGGCAGAAGCAGCAGCAAGCAGAGCACAGATGTAAGATTTATGTGCTTGATGTTGCAGACAGAGGACATTATAGGAACGTTATGTGCAAGTAGCTAAAGTACGAGTGTTTACAGCCTCCAGACAGAGTGCCTCCCTGACCCCCTGTATCATAACCAGTAGAGGAATCTGGATCTCGGATTAGTTCTTTAGGCTTAAATAAGGAAAATGCAGGATTACGAGGAGTCTGTGTTGTTTCTGGGGAGCTGGGGTCCGTTCCAGAGGAGAATCTTCTTCGTTCTTTGCCTCACCTGCGTTCCATGCGGATACAACATCCTGTCTGTCATCTTCCTGCTGGCCAGCCCCCCACACCACTGTGACATCCCTCCCCACAGTAACCTGAGCCAGGAGTGGATCCAGGCCAGCATCCCGGCGGAGGTATTCTGAATTCGAGCCAGCAAATGCCTTCATTTTGGCAAAGCATTTCAGCCATTATAGTTTACTTTTATCTTTATTGTTTATGATTTTGTAATGTAAGTGAATTGCTCACATCTGTTCAGGTGTGAATAACAAACTAAGCTGCTGTTCTCCATTTGCTTTAGCTGTTCACCCTTGCATAACCTTTACCATCAATGTCCATTGAGATATATTGTTGCACGAGGCAAAAGCTGTAGCAGTTAAAGATTATGCTCAATGCAACAAATAGCAGAAATACACAGTAACTACTAGGCACACAAAGTGTCACATTTTTATTCGGGAGAGGCCAAAAGTAGAGCCTTAGAGGATTAAATGTGAAATTGGAGGAATCAGACGATTGACTTGTAACAACTACATAAATTCATTAACTCCTCTAATTTTACATAATTACCAGATTTTAAAAAAAATGAATTAACATAAACTCAAGATTTTGATCTAATAAGGCATTCTTAAAACTGCAAAATCAACATATGAGCGAAACAATCAAATTCCAAACTTCAACTTATTTATGTTAGGACAAATAAACAGCATTCCAGATTATAAAGTTATCATAAGGTCTATGTGCAAATAGCCATTTATTTTCAATGCTGCCTCATCCTGGCCTGACCGCAGTGGCCTGATTTGTATCTCATGAAATCACTGGGCGACAGACGAGGTACGACCTGGACGAGTCCATCACACGGCAACACAGAGACACACAGGAAAAATAACCATGCACACACACACACACACAC